GGTCATCTCCTTCATGTCATATCGCCGTCATTTCTATATCATAGCAGATAATGAGCACATAGCGACACACATTCAAGGGCGCAGATGAAAAGCCGTGCATGCACACGGCAATGACGAATGGTGTGTGTGTGTGTGTGTGTGAGTGAGAGAGAGAGAGAGACAGAGACAGAGAGAGAGTAGGATCACACGATCAGTGCGACAAATATAGCGAGAGAGTGAACCCCGAGCGCAAGTGGCTCTTAAAATTTCATCTTGAAAAAAAAAAAACAGCCGCAGGTCACAAACCAGTACTAGGTGTATAACGCCAGAGACATGAAGCAATCATGTTGGACTCAGTCTAACGGGGTACTACAATCTCCCCGTCGGTTGGTTAGTATGTGCAGCGTCGCAGTGGGGTCCACATCGTGCCTATGCCCACTTAATCTTCACGTCATCTTCACAACGTCTGCATAATATTATTAAATCATTGCCATGTCAGCTCTATGCGGTCGTTCAGGTCGTCCGAGCATAACTCACCCTAAAAGTGAATGTATACAAGCTATAGTTCCGGCCAGTTACAGCCAAAATAAGGGTGCGCGGTGTTCGGGGGAAGACGGTAGTGATGGACGACGTCATCTTCGCCCGATCTGCATGTCATTTCCAAACTCCAGGGTGAGCAGGTGCCAGGAGGTGACAAGGAGCTGTCTCGTCCAACTGGCCTAGCTCAGTTGTGCATCTCTCAACTATCCAAATACCAGACCCACTGACTTCGACCTGCCCTGCAAGCAGATGAATAAAAATTATACTACAGATGGAGCTGTAGCCTGTAGGAGGTGAAATTTGAGGCCTCTTTATGAGGCTGGCGGTAATTTAACGGGGGTCCGGAGTCATAGAACATCGATCATGGCTCTTTATGAGGGTCGGGGGTAATTTAACGGGGTCGGGGGTCCATTGATGTTGTTGTTGTTGGTGGTGGTGTTGGTGTTGGTGTTGGTGTTGGTGTTTACTACAGTATGAGGAATAATGATGACGGAGGAGTCGGAGATATTATGCTGAGAGAGGACGTGCGGAGAGTCTGGAGAGATGATGGGGGCGACGTGAGGAAGGCATGGGCATCCGTTCCATAGGGTGTTCATCTTCGTGTCGTTTTGCTTCTCCTCCTCCTCTCCCTCCTCCCCCTGCTCCTGGTCCTCCCCCTCATTGTCCTCCTCATTCGTCTTCTTCTACCTCTTAATGGCTTCGTTCTTTTTCCCCTCCTCCCCCTCCTCCTCCCCCTCGTCCTCCTCTCCTCCTCCTCCTCCATTTGGGGAGCAGTTGAATGGCATTGTCCGTTTGTGAGTCTTGTGTTGGGAGCATTGGGGAGTATGTGGAGCTGACAAGGGATGATGGTACCTCCTTTAAAAAAAAAAAAAAAAAAAAAAAAAAGGGGGGGTTCTTCGGACATCTGTAAAAGCTGGAACGATACAGAGAAGGTTCATGATCATCGTCCCTACGCATTCAAGGATGACACCGCATAAATCGAGAAATGGGTCCCAGAAGAGGGGAAACAGGGATAAGTACCTGGCAGTGCCTCTTCATCCACAACCTGCCTGTGATATTCACCATCTGATTCAGTTGTGTGAAAATAAAGGGCATTCTCAAACAAAAACGAAGACAGGAGATGTGTCGACTGTATCCGGTGTATCCGTCTCTAATAATTGCGTTTGGCTTTTTTTTTTTTTTTTTTTTTTTGTGTGTGTGTGTGTGTGTGTGTGGGTGGGTGGGTTCATGCAAATTTGGTGACGGAAGATAGCAATTACCTGTTTGGTACTGTTTTTTTCCTTTTTTGTCTTTTTTTTTAAATATATTCTTCCAAGTCTCGTTGACTGGCACGTACGAAAGAATCTGCCTTCCACAAAAAAAAAAGAAAAAAAGAGAAACAGCGAAGGGTCAAAAGTGACAACAGAAAAATCCCCTTTCAGGGCCTCGCCACACCACTCTCGAAATGTGAAAAAGACAAAAATGTGGCGGGCGCATCTGGCCATGTTCTAGCACCAAGTTCATTCTCATTTTGCACATTTCGAGAGTGGTGTGGCTATGCCCTCAATTTCATTCCGCCGGCAAAATATTTCAAATTTCAAGAAAACACAGATGGGAAGGCTCCCATTGAATCAGTTAGTATCTATTCCGTTTCTCCTGACTAACTTCATCCTTTTCTTTTTCAAAGAGGCAAGTATGTTGATGTCACTTTTAAATATGAGCAAAACAAAACACGCGCCGGGGAAAAAAACAGGTACCGAGTTCCAAAGAGCAATGAAAGTACCAACAACACCTGTGGTGGGGTCAGTAGTTACTAAACAACGTGTATTTTAGGACATCAGGCCTCGCCGTGCACGCACGGCCTCGAACCGGTACCTTCGGTCTCACTAACGAAGTCTCGTAACCACTACAACCCTGGGAGGTAAGTCTCGTAACCACTACAACCCTGGGAGGTATTATAGAAACTGGATATTTCGGGTATGTTGATGTCGCTTTTAAATATGAGCAAAACAAAACAAGCGCCGGGAAAAAGAACAGGTACCGAGTTCCAAAAAGCAATGAAAGTACCAACAGCTGTGGTGGGGTCAGGCCAGGTGTCAAAACTACAGGGGTGGGTCCGGGCAAGTAGGTTGAGATCACTTTTGAGTATCAAATGAGGAAAAAATCTCGCCCCCAAAAAAAACAGGTACCGAGTTTTGAAAAGCAATGAAAGTATGAAACAGCTGTGGTGGGGTCAGGCCGGGTGTCATAACTACAGAGGTCGGTCGTGGTGTCAGACGGGTTTGAGGTAACTTCAGTAGAGTCACAAAGAGTTATCATTGCACTATGGGGCAAGATACAGTTTGCAATTGCACTTTGAGCAGTGCCACCCGACCTGGCCAGAAAGCTGTGTTGTATCCATTGCCCCAACTGCATTTCAAAACTGTATTTTGGCCCATAGTGCAATTATAACTCATTTTTGTGACTCCCGCCTAGTTTCCCCCCCAAAGGGAAGAAAGCCCAATGGATTCTTTTCTACCCAAATTGTCCTTTCAAATTCAAACTCACACCGTGATATCTTTGCCTGCCCGTGCTTTTTTAGCTTTTGCGAACTCAAAACCTGCCCTGTCCGCCGTTGTTCCTTTTTCTTTTTAATCCAGTTTCAGACCTGCTCGAGGTGATGAGAGCAGGCACCTCGAGCAGTACCCCTGCTGCACTGCTGGTGCTCCAATCTATTGATTGGGAGCTGCACCAGCCGGAAACTGGGTCCAGCGTCCCTTATGGGTCATAATTAAACTGACTTGTAGTTACGGGGGCCAGTACCCGGCTTTGGCTTAGATAAGGGCCAGCTCCCATAACTTCAAGCTGCCTGTTTAGACAGGATTCAGAGGAAAGTAGTGGAAGTCATGCACTTAACCTACTCTTAATTGTGTGCCTAGTAACCGGCCTCTACAACACCCTGGGCTTACAACAACAACAACAACAACAACAACAACAACAAAAAAAAAAAAAAAAAAAAAAAAAAAAAAAAAAAAAAAAAAAAAAAAAAAAAAGGTACTACTCATGAAGCCGCCTAGAACTCCTTTCACAGGCTGCCTGAGCTGTATTGAGGCTGCCAAAGATGAAGCAGTCATGGCCATGTGAAGACACCTGCCGGAAACTGTGTCGGGCATCCCATTATTCCCATACACTTCATACCTAAGACTTAGTTCCTATCTGAGCTGTATGTTTTTGGTAATCGGGCTATGTTTGCATCCTTGCTGAGTTTGTTTCAATTTTTGCGTGCGTAACAGAGTGGCTTTATTGGTGCATCCTTCTCCTCTGTTCTCATGCGTGGGCAGTCTTCTCTTTTCACTGGTCCAGGAACTTCTTAGATCTTCGCAAATTATCAGAATTTGTATAATATTATTAAGCTGTAGTGAAATTGCCAAAGAATTGGCAGTCTGCAATCAGCTCTGTCCATCATGGATCAGAGTAACCTCAGCTATCTGTGATACCAGTTACTGTGGTAATTCGAGAAGGAGCATTACCTCACCACCAAATTCGTCTGCAACCATTAGCTCAGTAGGTTTCATGCCTGAGCGGCACCGCCTAGGTGCTGGGTTCTATTCCCGTTGCCGTCACTTTCAGTGGCCTGAGAAGGATTGGTGGCCACGGCCTGTCAACACTGGTAGCTCACTGGGGCGAGTTGCGCCGCCCTGTAACCCGTTGCAATGCCGGAGCATCGGGCCAAGTGGAAGTGGCTGCTCAGGTCCTGCTGCGGCTGGTCTGCTGCGGCTGGTCCAGACTGGCTGGTCCAGACACACCCAATAAAAAAGAGCTCTCAGGTTGAGTTCTCAGTCAGAATCATCATAGCTGACATTCATCATTACGATGCTTATCAGGGTTGAGACCCTCAATTTCATGATATTTCCAGAGGCTTAAAAAAAAGTTCTCAGCATACCTGTCACAACATAAGCCCAATAAAGTCATGATCATGACATATAATCTACTGAGACCCTCAATTTCGTGATATTTCCAGAGGCTTAAAAAAAAGTTATCAACATACCTGTCACAACACAAGCTCAATAAGGAAGCTCAATAAAGTCATGATCATGACATATAATCTACAATAATAACTTCCATAACAATCTCAAATTACCCGGGGCCGGTCACCTGTGGATATATCTCAAGACTGCCGCCCTTTTTAAAAGGAAAAAAAAAAAAAAAAAAAGAACTCAACCTCTCCAAGTGGGGCACTCCCCGGGTAGAAGCGACCGACCACCCAGCATACTGTCGCCGCTTTAGAGAGAAAGAAAAAGAAAACGAAAGAGCTAAAAAGGCTGGTCATCTCTGTGCAATAGTGGGCCGCCTATGCACAGCCGAAAGTTTCAATACCTCCATGTCGAATAGCCCATCTGTATACTCCGGTGGAATAGCCAGACTGATGTTACCTTCGAGTGAGGAAAAGCCGGCGTAGGTCGGTGGCGTAGTCTGCGTCTCCTGCAGCCTGTGTCTTCTACTCGAAGGGGTAACCCTTAACATTTTTCTATTTACGTTGATTCGCTCGGTACTCCAACAAATGATCTGTACGTCAACAATTTTTTACTTAGGTGTGTGTACCATTCACCCACAAGGGCTGTTTTTTTGGGCATCTGCCACCATAGCTGGTGGTTTCTTCGACGGCCGGAGCCGACACAGGCATCATCAAGTGCCATACCCGGGGGTTCGGTCTGCGATGGCTGTTCTCTTCGACGCCATAGCCAACCCCAAGCATCTTCATGTGCGACCGCCGGCGTCTTCATGTGCGACGCCGTATCCCAATCGCGTCTCGTCAGCTGCAAAATTATAGTCGATAAGATTCCTTGTCCACCATAGCCCGATCAGGTTTCTTCGTTGGCAAAATGTCCGCTCGTCTACTTCCAATGACCAATATGCTCACCTGCTACAAAAGCCATTCCTGAACGTGAAGATGCAGCGACATCGAGCTTCACACGGGTTGGCATACGTACGCCCATCGCAGCCGCAGACGGGAAAGTAACGGCGGGTGCACGTGCAGTCTTCGTAGGCTGGGCACGCTCTGCACCAACGACAAATTCCGAGCGTCTTCTTATAAACACAACGGCAGGTAGCTTCGCACTCATTCCGATACGTATGCCCATCACAGCCGCAAACGGGCTTGAGCTCAGCAGTGCATCGACAATCTTTGAGTCGGCGGCAGGCGCGGCAGTCCACTTCTGCTGTCACACAACCTTCAAATAAAAACAAAAGCAAAAGCAACGCAACCGTCGTTGTCCAGGCTACCGGTAGTCTTGTCGCTCTTCCCATCGTCAACGCTACCTCTCTCTCTCTCTCTCTCTCTCTCTCTCTCTCTCTCTCTCTCTCTCTCTCTCTCTCTCCTGTCTCTTATACACATCTAGATGTGTATACCCTCTCTCTCTCTCTCTCTCTCTGTGTGTGTGTGTGTGTGTGTGTGTGTGTGTGTGTGTGTGACCCCCACACACAGGGACAGACATAGGCAGGTAACTGCGTGATGTGTGTGGCGGAAGAGGACGGCCAAAGCGGGGGGACGAAATAGGCAAGCTCCCAACAGCGATTGGAACGCGCACGGCGATGGCGGGGGCTTAAGTTTCGCCTCACAGATAAAAGTCACGGCAGTCTGACACCTATACTCCCTTTTCAATGGCCGATGCGACTGTGGGAGTCCTCGATCTCCTCGACACAGCTGCCAGCGGTCTTTTAATCCCAGTTTCCTTGCCGAGCGTCCAACAATAGTAAGAGGCTCACAAGGAACAGCAGGTCGAGAGGGATTTGCTCTCTTCTATAGTCTTCGCCACTCTGTGAGCAGTGTGCAGCTAGGCTATCGGCGACAAGCAACAGAGACGGTGTGGACAGCGGCTTTTCCTGTATACACAGGGCCAAGCAGCTGAGCGGCAAAGTCCGGGAGGACCGAAGACAGGGATTGCATCACACACTGTCAGTTGAGAATCAGTAAACGGACGCTTGGCCTGGCTCGCCATTGATGCATAGTGGGCTGTCAATCCCCTCAAAGAGGGTAAGCAATGCAGCCCACAGATCCTGTGAGATGTAGAAAACGGACGCTTGGCCTGGCTCCCCGCACGTGCTGCACCCCACAAATAAGATTGAAGCCGTCATTCCAGGGACCCCTTCATCAGGCACGCGCCCTTATCCCCTGAGGAAGGTGGACCCCCCCTGATGTTGGAAAAAAAGGGGGAAAAAAAAAAGAAAAGTTGTCGTAGCCCAAAATTCTCATGCTGTAACTGCCTTTTAGTTAAAATTGAAATATTTTGCCAGCGCCACGAAATTGAGGAGTGGCATTGAGCAGAGACTGCTGATGTTCATAGGGGGAGGGGACCGGAGGGGAGGCACAGTGACTGGCCCATCGAAGAAGCTCGGTCGTGATGCTACCAGCTGACCCCTGGCCGGTATCGCCCACCTGCTGTAGCAGGTATCGCGCCTGCTGGTGGGTGCAGCTCCCGCATGTTCCCTCATTGGAGGCTTGAGCACGGATGTGGCTGCTACGGGTTCCCCGTAATACTATAATGAAAATACAAAAAGGCCTGAAAGGCCGTCCTGTCCAGATTTGACAGGTAATTGAATTGGTTGGGCTTAAAGAATTAGCCTTTTTCATTAAAATAAAAAATACAAAATAAAAAATAAAAAAATAAATAAAAATTGATGTGTACAATTTTGCCTTATTTTCTTGTCTTCTGCACGATTTTGGTTCCCGGTTGTTCAAGTGGAAGAGGCAGGATTTGAACCTACATAGAAATATAGGGTCTCCCTCCACTACTGTACACTGTACGAAATTGTAGACAGTTCGTGGACAGCTATGGGAGCCTATAAAAATTGTGGAAATGCGGCATACCTCCACTTGCTGTACACTAGACAACACCCGAATTCGTGAGTTCCGTATGAGACACGGCCGCAGCACTACAAGACACAGCCTCTATAGCATTTTGTATGCCCAGACTCCAGGCTCTCTGTCCAAGCAGGCCGAGGATCGGTGGGCTCCTACGAGCACTTGTGCAGGCTGGGAGCTATACAAAACTGGACACTCAATTTTCCACGGTACTTCTGACAAATGTCCAAGCCATTTTGCACACCTATAATGGACAGTAAGTGGAGCGACGTCCCACTGTCTATTTTCGTACACTGGACAGTAGTGGAGCGAGGCCCATAACCTTCAACAGATTTACGGTCTGTCACTTTTAACCACTCGGCCACTCTCCCGAAGAATTCAGCATCCTACAGAATTTGAACCTGTGACCTTCAACTTAGAAGGTTGTGGCTCTATCCAGCTGAGCTATACATAATATTATTATTATTCTCTCTATAGATATATAGAGACAATAATATCTCTTTATACATCTATATAGAGAGAGGAATGAAGGAAATATTCAAAAAACATAAGTGATTTCAATAAAAGGCTATTAAAAGCATATTAACCCATGATGCGTTTTATACAAAATAATTCATTGCAATTATCACCAAAGTATAACATATAATTCATTGCAATTATCACCAAAGTATAACATAAATCTAAAGTTTGTTTTTCATCTACTCGTAAACAAGGAAATTCTGATTCATATTCAAGGTAATGAAGTAGGCAATGACACGCAATGTGGTAAAAAAGAAGAAACTAGTTTTTCGAGAGTCTGTAGATCTCATTCCAAAAGTCAAGCTTGATCCTACCTTCGCGCGCATCCGATAATTGGCAGCGCTTTGTTTGTATACCAATTTTTTGGCCACTCCTGCAGATTGTTTTTTAGGTCTTTCGGTGAAGTATGGCCCGTCCGAACGGACGGACGGACGGCTGTATGCCAGGGGGGCTTTGACGCTTTGGGGGGGGGAGATGAAAAATATCACAAGGACTACAGCATGCCGGTAAGTAATTCATCACTATGAAGTGCGTCGGCAACGTTGAGACCAGAGGCCGCACATTGGTGATCCAAGTTTGGACATTGTGCCCCTCAGCTCCAACCCATCGCTCTTTGTGTGATGCACATGTGGACGTGCTCCTCTCCTGCAGAGAGGAATTTGGCCGTCCATGAGAGCGTTCACAAGAAGAAGTGGAACAGGTTGGGGTTCGAGAAGGTCGCAAAGTTGGGCAAGATAACGGCTCCTTGCACACCAGCGCGCAGGTCACCTGTTCGCTCTGTCGGGGACGGGTGACGAGTCTGTTCTGGATTTGGAGGCAGCGATTGGAACAGAGCCTTTGTGGCATGGGATGGATGAGAGCAGGGCACAGGAGGACTCTGGAGGAGCGTGAGGAGTAGCATCGTCGGTGGTAGAGAGATCCGTGTAGCTTGAGGGAGCCCGCACCCATGGAGCATGTTTTTGGCACACGAGCGGCCACTCTGCAGCGGTACCCAAGAGATGAAACGGACGACAAGGACTTCCCTCAGGGCACGGGTGTTAGTGTTGGGGATGCGGCCGACAGGGACGATGGAGGGGACAACGATTGGAGCAACCCCAGAGATGTTCGTAGACGGAGCGGTAGGGTGGACGTTTTCGGGGAGGGGGAGGGAGCCTGGAGCAGAGGATCTAAGGGGTGAGTATGGCAGCTCGGGGAAGCGTCCAGACCGTGATTGCACCGGTCGCACAGCAGACGCAGAGAATTCTTGCCGGCACGTGGCGTGGACGGCGGGAGAGTTAGCAGCTGGGAGGGGGTTGCCAGGTTCACGTGTAGTGCCGAGGGAGGGGGGGAGGGGGTGTCCTCCGTTGATCGTGCTTCTACCGTCGCCGCAGGTGGCCACATGGGGGAGTGCCACAATGCGGAGGTTGGTGAGGGGCCCAGGTGTGTCTGCTCGACGTTTGGATTTGGACAGGGCACCATCAGGTGTTCGGGATGTAGGTTGAGATTGCTAAGCGCCAGAGGGAGTTCATGACAGGGGGGAACAAGCGGCTGTTGGGCCAGATTGGTGAGATCATGCTGGGCTATGTGGCACCCTCGGCCTCCGATCCCGCTTCCTAGGAGGAGGCTGAGGAGGCTGGCTGCGACCCCGCGGCCTAGGCCGTGCAGCCAAGTTTCCGCACGACCGTGCGATGGAGATTGAGCCTCAGGTGCGCACGCCTCCTGCACAGGCCAGCCCCCGGCCCTCCTGCCAAAAAAAAAAAAGGAAAAAAAAGGAGGGGTGGGGGTGGGGGTGGTGGTTAATATTCCGTTTTTAGAGGGGTGTTAGAAAAAATAATCCCCCCCCCAAAGAAGATGAAGAAAAAAAAAGCAGCAGCAACGAGTCACTGACGAGTAAGAAGAACAAGATGAAAAAAAAAAAAAAACAGTATAAAGTCAGCTTCGCTTTTCAGGAACCAGAGGACGACCGCTGGTTTAAACAAACAGAACTACTTGAGACTGCTCCCGAGGTAGTTCGTGCCTATGAGAGAGATAAGAAAGGCAAACGTCCAGCCCTAGACTGAAGTATTCTCGGAGGACCTCGAATTTAGGCCGGCGGGAGTGAATCGGTTTTCACCTTTTGCAGACACAGATGCGGATCCCAGGGCTCGATCCCCAGATCTCACCTTCCCTTACCTTACCTGTGTACAGTATCAAATCTACCCTGTGAGTCTTGAACCCGTGACCTGTGTACTAGTAGTTGAGAGTTGTCTGTCGTAGGTCTGAGTAGTTGTCGGGTCTTGAACCTTAGACCTGTCGAAGTAGGGGTCATACCTGCATAGGGGTCATAGTTGTTGTAGTTCTGAAAGGTCAAGGTTGTAGCTGCTACAGTCCTGAAAGGTCAAGGTCGTAGCTGCTACAGTCCCGAAAGGCCAAGTCCGCAAACTTCCGGAAGGTCTGGAAGTGGCCTTTCAAGTTTCTTCTCACGTTTTACGCAGCAGACGAGAGGCAAGTGGGCAAGCTGCGGAGTCCAACTTTTCTTAGTCAGCGGTACCCAGTCCCAGTCTCGCTTTGCAAAGTCAGCAAGTACCATGACGGACTGTGTGCACCATGGCCCCGGTGGAAAAGGGCAGACCAAGTATAAATCAAGAGGCAGCGCCCAGCCATTCATTCATTCGCTGCGTAAGCCATGCGGAAGCACTGCCACACCGGCATGTGCAAGGTGGTCTGCAGGTTGCCCGAAGTCGAAGTGGGCTGAAGAAAGGCGGAGTGTCCATAGGCAGTAGTAGCCGGCGGCCATAGCCGCCATAGCTAGTGTTAGTAGGAGTTAGTGTGTGGATACAAGTGTGTGATACCGTGAATGCCTGTGGGGTATCCAGGGTGATCCAGAGTTGAGTGAGTGCGAGTAGTGGTGTTGGACAC